GAAAGGTAAGAGCATTAGCAAGCAATCCTGCAGGAAAATGCTAGAACCATTGCAAATTACAGAGAATTTGGGGACATTTTACTGCAGGTGCTGTCCTCTATTCTTCATCTGTACAATGTTAATATGAATGTTGTTAAATAAATGAGGCAATTGCTCATGTTAAATATGCTACGCTAAGAGAGCTCAAGCCAAGTATGTTTTGCTGTGTCAGATGTGTTTACTTTCTATTTTTAGAAGGATGGGGCATGTGTCCTGACATAGAAACAAGCATCTCTGCTCTGAAGGAGTCTGTAAGAGTGTTTGCTTCACTTGTGTCAAAGACAACAGCCCAGTTAAGCCTCGTCCACTAAAAAACAGCAAAGGCAAGACTCAGAACCTGACAATATGAATGAGTATGGCAAAAAGGGCAACCACTGTCAACTCACAATTAATCATTATTTCAAACCAATAGTATTTCATAGTTAGCCACAACTGATTAAGAATACATTAAAGAAATCTAAAATATGGCTGGTAATTTTACCTTGATACATAATACGGTGTTGAAAACTGAAATACTTTACTTTTTTCACTATCTTTTGCATCATGTTATTTGGTTGTTTAAAGGTGCTGTGCTGCTGAATCTCATGATTCTGCAAGAGACACAAGAATGTGTTTGGATACAGCCAGAGAGACTGCCCAGCACTGTGATGTGAATGAAGCTAGATTGCTTCCATCCACCTGTGACTTACAGAGTAACAGATGCACAGGAAAAGGAGGCTCACTGCTACAAATGTCAGTTGATATTCCTGTGGGAGTCTTTACTCTACTTTTGCTGAAAGTGTGGCCAAGAAAAGTAAATGTTCAAAAAGTAAAGGCAGGAGCCAGGTGTTATGCTTTGGTGACTATGCTGGTGACTAGCCTCTGCTCCCCAACTGCAACACAGATGACTCTCACCAAAGATCAGTGAAGCTCTGCAGCTCCATTGCCACCCATACTGCACTGGAAACAGGTATGTACACACTAGCACTGTTTAAACATCTCATTCAGAAATATCCCCAAAATACAGAGAGAGACCTCTTCATTCACAGCACACCCTGCTGCAACAAACAGCATCTTCTCCACTCCCGTCCCAGCGCAGCAGCAGGAGGAGGCTGGGAACGGCAGTGAGGGTTCTGGCTGGGACTGGCACCCTCCCCCCTCCACAGCCCTGTCTGAAGCCATCCAAGGCAAAGCCGTGCTGCCCTGACACTGCCATTTCCCAAAGGAGCACAACTTGGCACTTCAGAAACACAGGGAGAGAGCTCTGGGTACTTCTTTATTTTAGTGACACATTTATGATGTGTAAACTCTATGAGCATTTGACAACATTTTGAAAGGCAGCTAAAAGCCAGCCCAGATGGCAATCCCTGGGTATGCCCTGTCCTCCACAAAGCCCACAGACATAGCTGTCTGGGATTGCTATCTCCTTGCAACTTGTGCACTAACAGGGCCAGGAAATGAGGCTGCTGCCACTTCTACTTCTTGCCGAGAGTTTCTTAAAATAATTCATAAAACACGCTTATCTTTCTTTTTTTTTTTCTTTTAAAGAAGTCTGTGACATCCTTCTCCGTGTCCTCCCTTGCCACACAATATTGACTGTGTGCTTCAAACTGACAGCAAATACACTTTGCAGCTTTTATTTGAGAAATTCATTCCTCCTGTCTTTATTCCCCTGAGGACACTCAGACATGGCCTAACACGGTGTTTGTCCATGGGATGCTGACCCTGTGCTGCCAGGCTGCCCTGCTCTGCACCTCAGCCCTGGGCATGCACCGGCCACGGCTTCAGAGCCACGGCCCTCGCTGGCCTGCCGAGCAACACACCTTTACAGAGATAACAAAACACAACGTACTCCTTTGTTTATCACTTCAAAAAGTTGTGTTAATCAACAGTTCGTCTCCAAATGTTCTTGGGGAAAAAAAAAAAAAAATTTAAATAAAAAGGCAAAAAAAGCCCAAACCACCTTTGTGTAAACTTATGTTCCTGGGAGTTTTATATTTGTATTTTACAGTTTGTAATATTTGCCTGTACAAAATTCGTTTTCCACTTAAATTAACCAGAAAATAAATGTTACATCAAACTTCTTCTGTGTACCTGCAAATCACAGTAGATTTTTAATTCTGCGTATTTTTAAAATTTGTAATTTATGTCAATGTCTCTGCAGGGTAAACACATGACACACAATGGTAGATCAGATGAAATAGATTAGCTTCTATATGCCACCGAACCTACAACATATGCTAATTTAAAATGCAATAAAAACATGTCTCTGGTTTTATAAATAACAGCAACTATTTGTGATTAGACATATGCGTGGAAGACAAAAGCATGATTTATAAATTGGTAAGCTCCTTACAGCTCTTTAGGGAATAGACAATTTTTAATATTATGCTACATAAAAGTTGGACTTCAACTCCACAGTGTTGAATCTAAGAGCAACACAACTTTTCTTGGAGGAAGGAAGGGGGGAAGAAAAAGCCAATCCCCCAAAGATAAATGTATTCAATTATGGCCAAATAGAAGGTCCTGTTTCTTGAATAGCTACAAGAGGAATGGAGAGAATAGGGAGACAGTAAGGTAAGCTTCCTTCATCCTGTTCTTATGCATACTAGTGGCTTCCCACATTCCCGTTTCCAAGAGCAGGCAGGGATTGATGAAGGCCTGCGTGTGCCTCGCTGCCCGGCCTTCCTTCCCAGAGGCTTCGGACTCTGGTGACTGATCCCTGCATTCAAGTGTCCCTGCCCCTCCCAGGGCCGGTGACTCTTCCCCACATGAAGCAATACATAATTACTGTCCTAATTGCCCTTGGAGTTGTGTACCCTCAGATGTTTTTAAAGGATCAGAGGTGGAATGTGCATTTCTGGCTGAAGTCTGAGCAAATCCTTAACAGAGCAGACCTCAGGCAAGGCCCAAGCCCTGTGAGCTCTGGGCTCTCGGGAGCAGGGTGCGGCTGTCATGTGCTGCACATTCCTCCAGTGCCAGAGGAAGGAGACAGAAGTGACTCTGCCTAATCCCCACACGACGGTGTGATGAACTCATGATCACCAATGCCCCAGGGTTTGCTTCCTGCTGACATAAACTTTCTTTATTAAGAGGAAAAGACTATTTTTGTTGAGAGACTGGTTTACAGGACAGCAGTAGGGTTGTGGCTAGTTAATAGAGTGTCACAATCAGCACAGTGAGACAGAGCTGCCTTGGCCCAAGCCCAGGGCTGGAACCATCTGCTCCCGAGCTCTCCAGCCCATGCTGGCTCCAGCGGCTTGCACAGCTGATGCTCTCTGGGTGTCCCTTTACCCCTGCTACCTTCCTTTTTCCCAAACACCAATGCCCATCACAGCCAGCAGTTTTGTTTTGCTTGAGCCTAGTCCATGCCCCTTTCCCAGTTGAAAGAAACTAATTTACTGACTACAAATTCTATACTAATTTTCTTGCATGCTGTCTGAGACAGACAAGAACTGCCCTGGGGCAAAAATATTAATATTTTTACTTAAAGTGGATCAGCACTTGGAGATACTCTAGTGTATTATTCCTAATTAAGTAACCCAAATCAACTCCATGCCAGATGCTATTGTTCTGAACACATACACACATAGATATATATGTTATTAATAAAAAGTAGTTACAGTATTTAAAGTATGTGCCTTACCCTACTACTTCAGTTTACTTTCAAACACAAACAAGTCTGAATTACTTTGTGCATACTAGCTTTATCAAACCCACCCACTCGGCTACACTAAATACTTACATTAGACAAGGTCATATCAAAGTTACAAGATAATCTGGATGTACACAAACTCTTGCTAAAAACAAAGTAAAAGAGGAAGGTAGGCTAGCTTTGGTCTAGGACTTATCAGCTGGAATACAATAGTATTTGATTGCCCTAGGAATAACATAAAGTAAGATCCAGTCCCCATGAATACAAAAGAGCTATTTCAGGAGCCATAACTGAAGTTCAGTAGCAAAGAGAGAGCAAACACTTAATTTGAGGGTTGTGCCGTTTTTAAATCTATCTGTTTTCGCTTGGAGTGCTCCATTTTCCTGGTCAGCATGAACAGAATCCGTCTGTGTTTTCCCTTAACTGTTCTTATGTCTGAGACCTTTGTATCCACTCTAGTAATTGCATGCTAGCGACTATCAAATAAGTCTTGAATGGGACACAATTTATTTGCTATGAATTCTCCACCTTTGAGAATCAGAACCAACCACACTTGATAATGGTCACTGATATTTTCTGAGCTGAACAACTTCTAGTTATGGTATTATCTCACTGACTAAAGCAGACATGTTGCCTAATGAAAACCTAATTCCTCTCTGCTTTTTCTTAAAACTTTTATTTCCTGACCAGGAAGTTTCAACTAGTGAAGAGTGTGTGATCTTTATCAGCCTGTATACAAGAAGAAATCCATATCAAAATGGAATGCAGCCCCAGGAGATGCCCAGGAGTCACAGCCCCTCCCTGCAAGGCTGTTTGTTCAACAAGTACATGTGGGTCTGGGTCAGCTGTCCCAGAGCCAAGGGTAGGCACAGGGAGGGCAAATTCATCCCTACCCCACTGTGGCTGGAAAACAAGAAACTGTTTCGGTCTTCATCTTGGTGGTATTGGCTTTGGCTTTCAAAGAAAGGATGTTTGGTCCCCGGAAGTTTTGACATACATTGACCACAGAATTCCTACTTTCTTCCAAAACTCATAAAGGGACCTTTTTTTTCAAAATATGAGGGAAAGTATTTGTATTTTTTAAAATTACTTTTCTTTTAGTAAACACAGTGTGACTCTGGCTGAAGAAGAGACTGACATCAGGGAAGATTGGCAGCTGTTAGCCACAGAGTATCTACGAGGCCACTGGGGGATGCAAGCTCTCCCAGAAACTGCTTTCTCCTTTTCCCTCTCCTTGTCCCCACCAGGCAGGTGACCCAGCCCTGACCAGAAAGGATGAGAGGCAAGTGAGCTGTTTTCAGGTCTTTTATGCTTTATCTTCTATGGTAAGAATACTAGCAAGGGAGCCAATTAGTGCCAGATACCATAATCATTTCTGGATTGACACTTGCCATTGGGAACTCATCTGAGACAGCCAAAGAGTTCTCAAACCAGCTGCCAAACAGCTGACAGAAGATACAGACTTTGATCATTACTGACCTGATCACCATCAAACTAAAGACCTTGTAATGAAAAACATATCAGTTTAGAGTCCCCAGAGCCATCCAGTCCCTCGGAACACTGGCACAATTCTAGCTGAACACATCTTTACAGGAAGCGGCTAAAACAGTCCACACGATCCTTAATAAACATCTGAAGAGCACTGAAGTCAAAAGGCTTTGGTTAGTCAGTAAGTCACCCTGTCTGCTCTACCCAGACTACAACAGGATTTAGCAGCCTGCCAGTATCAGGCAGCTTTTTGCCTGTACCCTTAAGAAGCCATTTTCTTCAGAGAAGATCCAACCTTCAGAAGTGTAAATCAGGAAAGCAATAGTGGCAACAAAAGTCAGGGCTAAAAAAAAGATGCAGAATCATTCTAAGAATAAAACAACCATCTGGAGAAATACTTTCTCTGGTTTACCTTTAGCAGAAGAGGATATTTGCAAATTCTCTGAATTGGAGTCAGCAGATAACCCTCTAGTGGAATGTCTGTTGTCTTTCTGCCTCCCAAAAGCATGCAACCCTATAATCAAAAAAAGAAACAAATGTTACCTCAGACAAAAAGCTTTCAGATTATTTCTGACATGATTCTGTGTTTCTAAACGTGCGTTATGGTGAGAAAGCACTTCACCACACCTAAGGTACAGGAAACAGCACTTCATTCACCACTGACATACAGCCATCAAGTCTGAAAAGTTCTGCAGGCATCAGCAGAAAAAAATTTGCTGTGGATAAATTTGCTGTGCAGAAAGGTATCTTCTCAGAGAAATATTATACAGCTGATGACTCAAAAACCATCCTAACAATACAATGGCAAACAGCAAACCTAAATGGACTATTACCTAAAATAATCCAATTTACCTCCACAACAGATACGACCTGTTGTCTTTGTTCACTATGTAAAATTGTATACTGCTGGTCCAGAAAACTCTTGAAGGCTAAAATAAAGCCAGCTAACTAGTAATCATGTAATTAACTTTAGTCCAATTCTTATGTCTGAATTGACCTGTAATTGAAACAAATGAGTCATCTGCAAACATCCACCAATTCTCTGGCAAAACATTATGCCTGAGCACAGCTGGAAAAACAGCCTGGGCACACTGGCTGGCTAACCAGCACACATGGAACTTCTCAACAGATTATGGAAATTAATTTCTCAGGATTGATATAGAAAGGGAGTTTAAGAACACTGGGGGGAAAAAACCATATAGTCCTTGATCTATCCTTAATTTGTAACAATAACCTGTAATCCTTATGACAAATCAATACTGCCCTACTGTTTATTTTACACATTTTCCTATTGGCTGCTGCCAGAGACAGGTAATAGATTCAGGTGGACTTCAAGTCTATTTCAGATAAACTAGTCCACATTCCTATGGTACACCATGAATATGGACTTTGCTCCAAAAGTCACTCCAGTTGCAAACCTGTCCTGTCCACACAGAAGTTTAACTTTAAATGCAGTTCAGCCAAGAAGTGCCTGCTTTGGGGCATCAGCAGTAATGTTTGCCCCTGTGAAATACATGCCTTGGCTCAGACTCACTCAGAAATTTAGTGAATTTTTTGGCAGTAGCTCTACAATTCTTCAAGGAATGTACAAAGACATCATACATAAAATCTCATTAGTCCTAACTGGTATTTTTACAGACAACTGTCTGTAAAATAACCTGTCCCCAGGCTATTCTAATCTGTGGCACTGGCTACCCAGCTCACAATGCTCCCCGTCCAATTTCCAAGTCTCAAGTGATTCAGTCCTTCCCATCTCCTCTTTCAGCCCTCTCTATAGCTCTGAACTTAAATCTGCCCTTTAACACCTACTGACTTTTCAAACACACTCCCACATTCTATGTTTCAGCAGCTGTAAGGGGGCAATCAGGCCAAATCTATTCTCACAAGTAAAGCTTTGTACTATAGTGCTGCCTTTTTTGCATAGTAGCATTGTAGCACTGGTTTGGAAGGCAGAGGAGAAGGGGAGGGCGGCCTGGAAGGAACTACAGCACCACAGCTAAGTAGACACATCAGTGCTGCCCTTCTTGCCATATTTACTACCATTTTAATAGTCTCTTGGATCCAGGTGCTGCAGCAAACCACAGCAATCAGCATGACATATTTGATGGCACTCATAATCAGTTTCCCAGCTGGTGTCTCTAACATAACAGAAAACTTTGTCAATCCAGTGGAAGTAGAGAACCTTCTGAAGGCTGGGAAGGACAGTGTTTGCATGCATCTTCTCTCCTCTTTCTCATTGGTTTCCCTCACCAGAAGCACCCAAGAAACCCTCATGAACAAGGTAAGGGTCATTTAGTAATTCAAAGTAAATATAAATTTGATAAGGTTTGATAAGGTTCATTAAAACTCAGATGTGACAAAGAGACTCTGCCTATGCAACAGCACAAGGGTAGGCTCCCTCTGAGGCCTGTATCTTGCAGCTAAAGGAATGCTCTGGCCCTGCTTGTGACTCATGTTTACATGGAAGTTTTCTTTTGCTTTACTACATTGGGAAAGAATAGACCTTTCACAGCAAGGGGAAAAAAAAAAAAAAAAAGAGCAGAAAGAAAAGCAAGTCCTTTGCAAGGAAGACAGCCTTCACTTCATAGAACTTAACAGGAAAAAAGCTGATGTGACGAATTATTCCCTCACCTACGTAATGGCTACGAAAATAAGACATTCAAAAATCAAGCAGAATTGGGGTGAAAGTAAGGAGGAGAAACAACCAAGAAAAAAAAGATAAGTAAGGAATGCAAGGGTAAAAGGCAGTGCCCACTGACTGTTTCTCATCCCAGCCCAGCCTCCAAGATGGGTTTTGGAGGCTGTATATCCCCAGTCCCTCCTTGGATGGGAGTGAGGTTACTTTTGATTTAAGCAGCAATGACACACTCAAAATAATTCATCCAGATAAATTTCTTGCCCACAGCTGGACTCATGGAGAAAAGGGTGCCAGAAGCTGGTCACATTTTTCTGATGAGCCTGTAAATGGTGAGTTGATCAGAGAACTGAGCAGGGAACCAAATCCAATGGGAACTAGCTTCAGTCTTGCTGCTGATTTATTGCATTACTCCTTTCATCATCTGTGCTTTTTTTTTAATGTTGATTCTTAAAAAAAAAAATCCTGGTTTCCACTGCCATCACTTGTGCTGGTAGTGCTCAGTTCTGTGCCTCAACTCATCAGTGATTTCAGTACCCCTCCAACCTGAGTGCTCCATACCTGCAATGGGTAATACCTGCAAAATGCCCAGCATTCCTGGGATTCCAAAGAGTTACTATGAGCACAGGGCAAAGTCAGATCCTTCAGTCAAGAGTGCTAGAGAAGGTGCTTACCAGAAGGAATGTTCTCACTGTCGGGATCTTGTTCAATTCCATCAGCAGTCTGAGTGCTTTCTCGTGGTTACTACAGTACTCCTCGTACACAAAGAATTTGTCTTTCTGTAAGGAAAAACAAAGTAACTTACTGACTCAGACACCACTAGAGAGATTATTTTGCCACAGTCTGTTACCAAATTCTTTACATAGAGAGGTGGACTCCAAGTGGCGTTAGCATTGGAGTTTTCATGAAGTGTGTGACACTCGTCTAATGTGAATAATGTATACAGGTATTCACTAATTCCTGACTTACTCTGTTTTAAGTTAACAGAGATTTTCCTGAGCACTAAGACTTTCAGCACTTTTCTTCTTAACACTTCACTGAGATCACAGAATTCTTTCTTGAAAGGAGGGATTTTGCTATCTTGAGAAAACTTGCATGTGTGTCAAGATATTCCATGAAAGTAGCCAGGAGCAAAACAAAGCCAGGAACAAGGGGGCTGACCATTACTGCAGGAGGAAGAAAGCCAAGTGGCTGGGAAGAACCAAGGCCTGAAAGAAGCTCTGAATCTGGAGGGGAACTATAACATGAAGTAGTCAGCTGGAAATTCCCTTGCCTCTCAAGAGGTGAGAGCCAGGCCCCAGCAGGTTGACTGGTTTACTTTGTGTTCTGAAACAAGCAGCAGACAAAACTTAACAGCTATATATAATAGTTTCTGCAACTGGAAGAATTTCACCAAATAACCAACATATTACAGATACTAAACAAAGAGAAAGGTAGCTGCAAAACTAGACTGAGCTACTAACACTGGGACATGTCACACCCACAAGCACATGCTGGAATGAAATCCCCTATTAAGAAATAAAGGTCAGCTGGCAGGTCAGGGTCAGCAAGTTCTGCTATACTGATCTTCAGATTCAAAGACAGTACAGCTCCTTCTGTCTAAAATGATCAGAGATACTGAACCCATTTCAAACACTAGGTATCTGGAAACATTGGAGTGATTGACAAAAGAAGCAGAAACAACTATTTTCATGCCCGAGCAGATAACGCAAGGGGCGAGTTGATACTCTCAAAGCTGGTAGGAAGGGCTGAAGTTTTGGCAATGTTCAGAGCTTCCAGTCCTGCATTCACCTGAATAAAAGGGGAATCATGAGACTGTATTAGGCTTTAGGCAAAATGAATGACTCAAAAGCCAAAAAACCCATCATTTTTGAGTGCTTCTCGCAATAGTACTTTATTTCCTGGTTCACGTTGGCTTCTATGCTGTAATGCAGTGCCATGTGGAGGCACCCACACAAGCCAGTTTGCACATCAAAAAGTAATTTCAAAGCATTAGTGTGGTACTCTGCGGGGTAATATGTGAGGCTTTCCAGCGCTACCATCTCAGGGCACCAAGCCATGTAGCAAACGCCTTCCAGTTTGCTGTTGCATTCACAGCATGATTCTGGTCTGAAAACATTCTATCTGAACCTTTTAATCTCCCCAGAATCTGGAAGTTAATTTTTTTGAGTTTTGATTGGAGTCCTAGCACTCTTAGAGCTTCAGCTGTGTCAGCTGAAGGTATTTGCAGCATCTAGCTACTTTTAAGACAGCTTACAGTGATCCAAGCAAAAAAGTATTGCCAGCTGAAGGAGTTCACTAGCAGGAAATCATGGGATCCAGCTGCAGTCACTGGATATTCCTTCTGCTATTGTCACAAGGAAAAGAAATTGCATTTATGTTAGTTTAGGAGAATTTGACATTCTGGTCAGATGTTCAGTGGTAGATATACATATTCAAAGTCTGTAAAATGCTTTTGGGTTGGGTTTTTCACTAACCTGATTAATTTTTCCTCTCCTTGTACTTCAAAAGAAAGAACTGAGAATAAATAGATGTATGTCCAAACATAAGAACAATGGTACAAAGCAAATAAAACCACAGTCACAAAGAGTACGGTACGAAGAGCTGGAATGCAGATGTTCAGGACTTTTATCCTTCATCGGCAGCAATTCACGTTGCTACTGAGGTGCAATACTGGGAAGCTGCAAAGAAACAAAAGCTTCTGACCACCAGATGCAGCAAAAGGCAGGCCTGTGACCACAGCACAATAGAGGAAAAAAGGCAACAGGATTGTTGTCAAGCATAAAAACAAGAGAGTTACAGAGTAAAACAGATAGAGAAGTTTTTCCCACATTTTCTCCTCTCACCTCTCCTGAACTCCCTGGATGCACACAAGCACCATGCTTGAAACTAAAACCAGCAGCCATTACCACAAGATCATCTGTTACATCAGTGCATACAAAATGTCACTGCTCAGGTTTCTGACTGCAGCTTTGGAGCTTGGGAGGGTATATTTAGATCACGACAAAATCCTTTTGCTAAAGCTCAAGACTGTGCAATAATTATACACACACCAGAGTGCTTTCCTCAAATCTTTCCCAGCTATACCCCATGCTGGCGACCCACAAATATGAGAACTATGCTTAAAATTACTCAGTGTCTGAAGTGTTTCATTTCCTCTCTGGGTGATACTCAGTCCTGGGCTCTCCCATAGCCTGGTGAGGAAATTATCAGTTACGTAATTACAGATGTCAGCCCAGGAATTCTGAACCTGCAGTTGCTCTAGGTTAAAAGTGCAATTATGGTCAGACATGTGACCAGATAAAAAAGGCACTTTCTTACTCAGCAAATCTGCTGGATACACAGCTAGACCTTCTGTTTTGGCAACAGAAGTAAGTCTGTACTGTTCTCAGTTTGGTTAGTCTTTAACCAACAGTTTATTCTCCAAATATGTTATTTTGGATCCATTAGTATTGCCCACAAATCAGTGCAAATATGAAAACACATTTGACTAGAAAAAAGCAAATAAGATATTTGGAAAACTGCAACATTTTATTTGGACATATTTTTAAGAAGGCATGGCATTTTCTTGTTTCAAAGCAGGCTGAAACCAACGTTTTCAACATCAAAAACCTAAACAGAACACACAATTCTCAACAAAACAATATCCCTGATGACTTAGACAGTAAAATTGATCACTCATGCAACACTGCTCCAAAAAATGAGCATAACACACGTTTCCCTAGAACAAGTTTCTAGCTATTACATCCCCAAATCTCTAGCAATATGACAATTCTTTGCCCTTCTGCTCCACACACAATCACACCCTTTCCTGCCCTGCAAAAGTGAGCCTGTGCTCACAAGGTGTGGTCACTCCACGGTCAGCGCAGGTGTTCTCTCTGACACTCGAGACAAGTCCCACATGCTGTTTTTGTTCAAGGCTGTACACTGGATTTGGAATGAATATTCACGGATGTTATTTACCATCTCTTACAGTCACACTGAATCCCTGCTCCAGAATAAACTCCGGCATCTACCATCAGACAATGAACTCCTGATCACCCGACCACATGGAGTACAGTAGGGCAGACAATGTCTGCCTTCTGAAGGAAAACAATTTTTCACACCTGAATACCAGAGCAAGCACATTTCATCATCTCTTAAAATACTTCAAAAAGACAATGTGCATTAATATCTTTTTTGGAATTCTTGCAAAATCTGCTTGCTTGCTTTAGGTGTTACTCAAGACTTGAATCCTTATGAACTAGAGGTCCTTGGGACAATATTGGGCCCATAACTACCATCCCTTGATGTATTCAAAAAAGGTGTCAGTGTGGCACTTCAGCCAATGGTTTAACGGTGAACAAGGTGGTGGTGCTGGGCTGATGTGAGACTTGATGGTCCTAAAGGTCTTTTCCAACCTTGATGATTCCATGGTTCTATAAAAGCAGTGTTCTGCTTCTGAAGGCTGGTGGACCACTGCCGAGCAAGGCTCTTCTAGGCCAAGACAGACCAGGAGGAGTCAGGTCCATGTAGACTAGTGGACATTAAGGATACACAGATCTCATAAAGAGGATCCAAGCACTGCAGTCTGATGGAACTCCATCAGATGGTGAAACTGGGGATTGCTACAAGGATGTACGATACACAGAAACTTGGAGAAAACATGCTCCACTAAAAAAATGCAGTGTCTGGATAAAACAGTGCTTTAAGAATTCTCAAGTTATTCACCAAATTTTTAAGTATTTTTAACACTTTCTAAAGTGTTTCTAAAGAAAAGGACCTGTGCTAAGACCTGGCTGCTGACAAGTACTGGATTCATAATCAGGACCAGGAACGACCCTGCCAGGTAATCACAACAGCAGATATACCAGTACATTCAAGATTCAGGGGCCTTATGCCACTTCCTCACTGCAAGCTCCCCACAGGACTCACTGTGATTTGATGATAATGAATAGGCAACACTGAGGGTGTTCCAGCACTACTTCTAAGCATATTTCAACAACAGAACCCTGCCCAAAATCAAAGGCCAAAGAAATGTTGCCCACTGTTTCCCTGGGTGAAATGGCGAGAGCGTGTGCTGATGAGAGCTCCCCAGCCCTGCAGCACTGGCAGCGAGTGGCTGCTGCGATCCATGACCCTGGTGTGCTGCAGGGCTGCTGAGCAGGGACACATCACACACCCCTGCCTGCAGCACCAGGCAAACACCTGCAGTTGTTCTGAGGCGCTTTAAATTGTGCTGCTTTTTTGATGGGTGGGAAAAAAAAGGAAAAAAAATCAACAGAAAAGGAAGGAGTTTCTAAAAATACATTGTTGTTTAGTTCAGTTTGATGTGATGTCCATTATTCTAACCTCATTCACAAGTTTTTTCCCACCCTACCCATAACTTTCATACAAGACACACATTGTCATAGTATTGCTATAAGCCTTAGAGATTAGGGTTTGCTAAGGGACCAGAGAGTTTATGACAGGAAACTATTTTCAGATTGCATTAACTCATTGTACTTACAAATTTTAAGAAAACATTTCCCAGTTCATGCTGAGACTGGGGTTCTGGTTGCAAACAGAATTCCAGAGCAGCCAGGAACTCCTTGTGAACACCAAGAATGTCTTCAATGTTTGAAAATAAGATCTGAAATATAAAGGGAAAAACATTGCCAGTTTTTCAATATATCACAGAGTTTTTTGCTAAGTAGTAACACCAAAATACTGTAGAGCTCTAGACTTACCACAATAGGATCCAAAGCTCAGACAAGGTCTTGTAAAGAATGAACTACATTGTATTTGCCCCTTTCCTAGTCTCCTATAAAAATCTTTACTGCTACTGAAGCACCCGCTGTAAATTAAGGTTATCTTTGCAGACCCCTGAGCATGATAAATGCAAGCAACCTCCTTTAAGTCTTGAGAATATTTTTCATGAAAACAGACAGGTACGTGGAGCCACAATGTCAAACTCATTTTACAGGAGACAGAAGCAGGGAGTAATTTGCCTTTCCTTCCCATGCATTAGAAATCCCTTTCTGGAAGAAAGGGACTTGAAGGTATCAAACACAAGGGTGCACTTGTAAATAGTAGACAAAATCTGCTGTATGGAATCCGGCCTTTCACTGCCCAGTGTACTGCCCAGAGGACAGAAGAGCGTTCATTTCTCACAAACCTCAAGAGCAGCATTTAGAGCTCCCTCTCACTGACCTCAGTGACACCAAAAGGCACATGTAGAGGGGAAGAGGCCCCTCGTTCAACCTTGTATTAAAAGCTAATGGTGACAGTTAAATGATCCCTGTGATTAGAATATATGTGTGCTAAGGGGAATAAACCGCCAGGGTGAAAGATGCTATAAACACACTATAAATCTTGGTCATTTTCATACAAAATGTGCAAAGAAAGTGTGAATCCACGTGTAGGAGATGGAATGCTACCTAGAGAGGGGCAGAAGTCCTGATGTGAGGTGACAGCCATCAGTACTGGCAGCCACTGGAGGGAAGGCTAAAAGGGAACTAAATCCTGGAGTCTGCAGTGACATAGGTGTTGCAGACAATGTTTCCATCACTTTGCTTTAACGATGTCACTTGCAAAGAGAAGACCTGCAGTGCAGTCAAACAAGCTTTCACATTGGAAGAAGCTCCCAGATCTGGCTCAGGGAGCAGGTGACCCTAAAGTATGCAGCCTGACAGAACCAGCATTCATCTTCCTGGCATCTGCTGTGGGAAGTGATCAAGCCTAACATCTCCAAACACTTCCCAAAATTCCTTACCGTAACACCAAACTCTTCAACTTTATGCAGTAGAATTTATTCACCAGCTGTAGCACTGAGTCAGACTGGTGGCTGGTGATGTGGCAGCAATTCAGAGAAACAATGATCTGTAAATTAGGTCTAGTTATTAAAGCTAGGACTGAAACCTCAATTCCTGGTTTAAAACCAGTTTCTCTTTGGTTTAGCAGGGGTGGACAAAATCAGGAATTCAAGGCTCTGCAGGCAGCCAGGTTCAACTCTATATTTCCGTTACTCACAAGGATGGGCAGAGTATTTCTCTTAAACTCCTCCTTCAAGCTGACTGCATGTCCAGAGTGGAGCCTGTTGCATCTTCCTTGTCTTTGCTTCCCTCTCCCTTCAGGAATTCTGAGATATGGTGCTGTGCACCATCATTAATGCCCACTTGTGCATCAGAGCTTCTTTCTAGGCTTCAAGAAGCTGAAAGATTCCAATACACTGAATTTGCACTGACTGGCTCTGAACCTAAAAAAAGGCCAGGGAGCTAGGATCCTTTCATTGCTCCCTATAAACTTCTTATGCTAATTCAAGTGGAGCCTGCAAGTATGTGTGTGTAAATGTGGCTGAAAGTGATGTGATGTGATGATGCAGTAGCCCTTGCCTGCATTGCTTTGCTGGAAGCTGTACCAGAAGGGGATTAACAAGCAAGAGGAAAACATCTGTCAGGGATGATTTTATCCTTCAGGAGCAGTCTTCAGGGGTGGTTTTTGTTCCAAGGAATATCTGTGCAAGCTAATGAATTCTGAGGTGATCAGTAAAGCTCTGTTTGCAGCAGAATTTGCAGGTAAGAGTTACTTGAAAATCAAGGTAGCAGACAGACCTTGACTGCACGTGGTCTTGTACCAAATCCAGTTACCAGCCTTGTGCATGCCCTCAAGTTATACTCAAGCCTTCAAACTGCTCTATCAGTGAAGTGATAGCAGTGCCTGCTGTGAGCACAGTCTAACAGTAACACATCAGGAGAGTTATTTCCACATGAGGCAGTGAATACATTCAAACCGATTTTTTTTATCATGTTGCTGCAGCTGTTAGTCACTGGCACACTTGTAAAATCTGGGCCTGGCACAGGACTCAATGTGGCCTTTCTGGAGAGAGCTACAGTGACTAAAGATTACTGAAATCTCTGGTGCTTAGCACCAGCTGTAGGAGAGATGTGCAAAATTATACTGGGAGCAATAACCCAACTTATCTTAAAAAACACTTTCTCCTTGTCCAGGTAAGTGACTGCCTGAGTGACTGCCCTGTATTTTCCTCAAGACATTTCTGCCACGTGAAGAAAGAGAGTAATGTCAGGCTTCTCCTTACATAAGCTGCCGAACCACTTTTAATAGTCTCTTGTACTGTTGGCCATCTCACAGCTCTCTGGTGACTCAAGACACACAGTATCAGCAGCAGATTATCAGAAGTCCCAACTCCACCTTGCTTTTCCTGCCTCTATCAGCGAGGTGAGAGAAAAGAGTGGGAAATAAAAAACAAGTATCTTTCAACTGCAGGAAAGACAAATTATTTGGTATAGCGGGAGATGGTGGGTGGAAGGAGGAGACAATATTGACTCTGGAAACTATGGGCACAGGAAAACTTATGTCTTGTGATTCTGTTTTACCAGAAAGGCATAAGCCTTTTATTACTGAAGAGAATCTCTCTTATTAAAAGCTGGGTATTGTAATAACAGCAATAAATGAGGTCTTACAGTGGCCTCAAAAAGACCATTTAAAGCATTTAAAGAATGACACAAAAATGAAGTGGTACTTCACCACAGTGTGAAGAAACTTCAAATACAAACCCTGCTGACAGGATTTGTAGGCACTGCATCTGATTATGTGGCAGTCATAATTTATATTCATTTTGATGATATGAGTAACGATAGAATAATAATTTTCATCAACATCAACAATGACAAATAGTTGTGTGAATTTATTTTCATGCAGAGCTTAGTTTTTTGCACACTTCTACGTACACAAGAGCTACTGTCACTAATCATTTGTCTACCTTTTCGTCAGCCATCCCTGAACTTACTCAGTTCAGTAACAGTAACAGATGCTGGACGGTGAGTTTTTGGAGAGTGGGGATTTCCAAATTTGAAGACAGCAAGAGGTTGAACTCTCCAAAGCTGCCAGCAGTCTTGTTCCCAGCCCCTTCTGGTATCAGCCAGTCAACACCACCTTGCTGGCCTGAAGAACCGACAGCCGAGGTGGGGCTAGGACTCTGCTCACCTGCTACATGCAGGAAGCCTGGCACAGGAAATGGAGGAGCAGCCACACCAGCTGCAGCAGCACTTTGGGTGTGACACAACTCCTGTGGCTGCCCTGTTCCCTCGGGGCAAAGCTGCTGCTAATTCAGGACCTCCAGTACCAAACAAAAGTGCAGTAAAGCATCATCCAGTGACAAACAATCTGTGCTCTGTTCCACTCACCAGTGGGTTTCACTTGTGTTGGTGTATGAAGAGGGGTTTGGTTTCATGTGCATATGTGTACAAGATGAGTTTTTAACACAAATATCTACAAGAAAGTGTTTTGTGTATTTATGACATTAATGAACACCATGCACCCCTGTGACCACAGGCACTACAGAAGCCTGTATCTCACAGCTCTCTATGTCTACTCTTTCCAGCGCAAAATTCATCCAGGAACCTCCTCACACAAGAGTCTCACAATATGTAGACCTCCCACAAAAACCCAAATTCCTTTCCAAAAGAACCCAAAGGAAAATTCCTGCCCCCTCCTCATAAGCCCTATAAAATTTCTATTAGTAGAAAACAGCAGATGCGAATTGGCTAACCGAATACTATCAAACAAAACAGACAAAGGCTGTGCATTCCCTGCCTTTCCTCTCAGACATTGAAATGGCCCCTCTGTACTCTACTCAGCATTTCACTAATCTTGCCAAAAGTTAGTATCTCTGACAACACTACACTGTTGTCAAATTTTACTAAAATTAGCTGGTGAGATGAAAAATTACTGGAAGATGACAGCTACAAGAATAGGCAAACAGATTGACAGATAAACTGTCAACATGAGCTCCTTTCCTTAGGGAACCAACTTCATGATAAGCATCAATATGACAAGAGGATATTTGATATTTATATCTCTGAATCTAGCCTTTCATTGCATATCACTTTCCCTACCAAGAAAACAAGGAAGACAGAAGAAATACCTTAACATTCTCCTCTGTTATGTACTTCTCAGCTTTGTCCACTGCATTCTGCCGGATCCGGTGAAGAAATGCCTGTAGAGATGAAAGAAGATTTATGTTCAAATAGTTTGATAATACTTTGATTTCAGTCTTTTATTTCCTCTAGGTTCCCATCAACACAGTGTGGCTTCAAGACTGAAAGAATTCATGAAAACATTTATGTAAACATTCATGAACCCCCCACCACAGATGTCCAGGCTACACGCAGGCACTACCAAAGACATTTCCTACAATGCTGTTGGGCTTTGCCTGACAATAAATATCTTCCCTTTGTTGAAGATTTTAGCTTTAATTATCTGTTATTAGCAGTAGACTACAGCACGGTCCAGTCACTCTGAAGATTTCCTGTGTCTCCAGGAGGCAGCTCTTCTGTCCCCAGGGCTGTGTGGAAGGGACAGTCACACTGCTGGAGCTGCGGCACGTCAGAGCCATGGCTAGGGACAAGTTCAACAGTCTCACTATATGGGGAAGGGAAATGGAAATCACCAGACAGTGTCTGCAACACACTGTCCTGTTCAATTTATTTCAGTTGGTTAAAAGCAGATGAAGCAACGCTGGAACTTTGTACTTAGGTCAGGTTTCCCCTTCCCTCAGCTCTGCACAACTCTGGCTTTAACAGCCAAATCAATAAAAAGCTCCAGGCCAGATACAAATGAACAGTGATCTGAATATCAACCTGAAAAGCATAACTCTGGCTACCGGAAGTTGGGAGGACCTACTTGCATTTAGTCTGAACACACCCACAAACCTATTTGACTCAGTGGGAATGGTTTAGAAAACAATACTGCATGGGATTTCCATCTCAAGACTCCACTGGTTTAGCAATTATTGGCTAAAAGGCATCTCTGAACTGAGAGCAGAGAATTTTCCTATCCACAGGCATCAGCAGAGATGGAAATACCTTCAGGAGAGACTGAAGGGTAGCCATTGAGGACAGAATCTGCTGCAATAAACTACATAACCTCTACAAAGAAGGGAAGAGGGCTTTCCTCTGTCTTGTCAGTGGCTTCTAACTTGCCTCCTACACAAAGGAGTGAGCCCTGAAGAGTGCAGTGAATAAGGTTGAAAGAACTTTTCTTACTCACCTGAGTGAGTGAGGGGAAGTCGGTCATGTGTTTGTTTAGGGCACAAAGCAGCTTTGTTACAGCTTGATAATAAAAAGCCCTTTAAAACCCAACTATTCCTGAGCAAGGTCCATGTCAGCTGGTGCATACTCAGCTTTTGTCTTTTCCCTTTTCCCTGCTGGGATCAGCAGCAGCTTACAACCTGTTCAGAAGCAATGCCACTGAACCAAACTTAGAGCTTATGGAATGCCTTCATCTCTGGTGTTCTGCTTGGCAGACAGTGAACATGTTCCTCTGACTGACTTTCAGCTCTAAAAGGGGCACATCTCTGTTCCAGCTTAGACATGGCTCTCTGTCACTCATCAACCATTCACACTTTAAAGGACAAGCAACAGTAAAAAAGACATTAATTAATGAGGCACAGAGACCCTACATTTGTTTTTAGCCCTGGATTTTCAACCTGCTTTTGAACAAATTTCAGAGACCATAACCATATTGTTCCTCTACTACTGCTAAATAGGAAGATCTTGGCTAGATTCCAGCTAGATATGGAGAACTCAGAGGAGTTTGTGGGGGGACTAAGAAGTGTGAAGAATAGATTCCTGCATCAAAGGAACAGGACACATGTGCCAGTGGCAGAAGAGTTATTATTTTGTAAGGACCAGCCAGTCCACCCTGCCAATAATCTGGCCAGGAACTGTAGTGCTCAGCAGCAGTCAGGGAACTGTCTGAGATGAAGTGTTCAGCATGATGACTGATGACAGGAGGAATAGCTGCTGCACTCCAGTGTTGGGTGTGATAGCTGAGCATTAGTAACCAGGCACCTGAGTTGTACAAAGTGGCACATCATTCTAGAGTCACTCATTTGCTGACGGGAAGTCAGCAGTGATTTTCCTCGCTTTAATCACAAACCTGTTTGGAGACAACAAACCCAACTGAAATCATCAATTAACCTACACAATTAGCAGCTCCACTGGTGACTAATAGTTACCTGCACATCAGTCCCAGTATGAAGGGTCTAATAATAGAGAGCTGTATACAGAAGTGCCAATCACATTAGCTGTTACAGGCCACTCAATAAAAAAGCGGAGACTGTGTTAATCTGTGATGTTTGTCTGAAAAGACCACTTGATGTGGAAAAGGAAAGGGAGGAAAAAAGAGAGGAAAATCAAACAAAAGATTAAAAAAAGGCATAGAAGCAGAGAGAGGAAGAAGGATGAAAGACCTAGAAGGAAAACAGTCAACTTTGTAGATAGTCTCTCAAATCTCATACAGCCTGATTTGCCTTGATGTGAGTGGACAGCAGTCTCTCCAGTAATAGTAAAACAAGATAGTTACAAGAGATTTTGGTTTTATAGATTTAATAGTCTAATTTCCAAAATTAAATTCTCCTCAAATTATCAAAATGTAATGGATGCCGAACAAGTTTTGTTCCCCATTTTTCCTACTTCCCCAATACCTACTGAGGTGTAAGAAGAACCTTTTGCAACACAGTCATTCAAACTGAAAGTATGAAAACCACAAGCTATTAAACAGCAGCTCATGGAGATAACATTGCATGCCCCGTTCACATGGCAACACCACTTTCTTCCAAACCACTTCCTGCTTGGAAAAAGCAATCCTTTTCCCAGAGATGTTATTCTGACATTCAGGTCAGTATTCCCCAAACTTCTCCAGTGATTTTTTGTGCTACTTGTTTTATTATGGTCTAAGCTCATCTGTACTAGCACTAGGCCTCTAATCACTTGGTGATACAGACTCCAAGTTCTATTATACAAGTAGTGTACAACTCTTTTGGGGGAAGGGAGTGCTATGATCTTTCATTAGACCTATTGATTTAGCTGGAAAATCAGAGTTATTTGGACAAGGACACGACAAAAGTGATGCCAAAAGAGAGAAGGTGGTGGTGGATGAATATTGAAAAACTTGCCGTGCCTATATCTTATTCATATTCCAAAATATTTTGTTATAAGACAGGAAGTAGCTGAAAGGGAAAAAGCTTGTCTGACCTCCTACAAAGTTTCTGAGACAAATTCTCTCTGGTTGCTCCAACCTTTTCATACTCCACACAACTCATATATAAATTCAAGGGGTCTGGTCCTTGGCATTTTTCATAGGGACCCCACAGTATAATTCTTTTCACCTGCAAGACCTTCAATCTCTGTAGAAACTAGCCTCCAAGGATATGTGGAAGCATGGGGGGTCAGCTTCCTTAGGAGATCTTGGAAGTACCACCTGGGGACTCTGAAAATCATTCCTAGGACACTGTAGGATGATCACAATCACCCCTCCATTGCAATCAAGAGCAGAAATCTCTACTGTGGCATGCTGTTGGTTTCCTCATCTCTGAAACTACCAGGGATTACTGAAACAACAACCAACTGCAGATCACCGAGACTGCTGAAGAGCTGAAACCGACCAATGGGCAACAAAAGTAGGCTCTGCTTCCTTTCATCTTCTTGTACCCTGGTCAGGACTTGTAAGAATGATGATTTCACAGATTTCACAAGGGGCAGAGATAGGAAGTCAGCTGACAGCACATCATCTCCTCCTTTATCCCCCAGCTGCACTGCTGCCACTGCCAGTGCTCCACCGTGCTCACACTGGGCCGGGTCTGAGCTGTCTGCATGGGCAGCAGAGGAAGACAGAAGCACTGGACGAGCCCATGGATTCAGAACAAGAACAGGTCATGGCACAAGGCAGGGAAAAAATGGGAAACCAGGCTGATCAGTTTTCATTCTTCTGATAAAGATTTTAAAGGTCTCATCTTCCATTTTGATGTGCTCAGAATTAGGAAAACAGTCTAGAGAGGACTAGTTTCGGTTTAAAATTCTGCTGTGGTAACATAATGTTTATTCGTGCACTGTGACTTGTTGTCCTAGAGATCTGCTATTCCCAAACTCAGCAGGCCACAGCTGATGCTCCTCATGTCATGCATAAGCACAACTTACAGTTTGTCTTACAGGCTTGAAAAGCCTTGCAGGATTCAAGCAAATCTATGACAAATTAGAATGAGTAGAGTGAAATGTTTCCTTTCTGCTTCACATCATGTTGGACAAGTTCCTTCCAATGCAGATTAACAGAAACACATTACAGATCTAGAATGAAATTTAAGTATAAAAATTCATTTCATTAAGTAAGTACTTTTTGATGGCCCATTTTGTTTGAAAGTGTTCTGCTCTTCTATTAATGCTCCTCACAATCCACTGTTTCAATGAAATCTCGTTGTTTTGAGTGTCTCTGCAGCACCTCTAAAGCACAAAAAGCACAGAGTATGTTTTAAGGAAAGAATTTGTTAATTAGTTGTTGTCACATGAAGAAGTTGCACACATGAAACACATGAAGCAACTGGGACTTCTCTCAAATGCTCTTCATATGGGCCTTGTTGAACTCAGCTTGTAGCCTTAATTAGGGAAAATCAGTATTTTCCATCTTCTATGTAGCTGAAGTAACACAAGGCAACACTAGGGACAAGGCAGTGACAGTTTACTCGTGCCTCTTCACAAAATTCATGTTTAAGGCAGATACTTCCTCAAACATTCAGAAACAGCAAGAGACTTCTTACTGAACAGCAAGGCAGGCAAAGTGTGCCCACCCCTGAGGGAAACGAAAAGGAGAACAGAAACAGTGGTGAGGCAACTGGTCCCTGCTGCTGGAGAAGCAACAACTTAAAGCAAAATCCTATAAAACCCGTTTTCTGAACACCTGACTGCAATGTCACATTGCACCTGAGAGACAAATGAGACTATTTCATTAAACTCATCAGTGATCAGGACTGATTCAGAACAAGCGTCCAGGGATCTAAATGAGCCTGGAATTTTCAGGGTTAATATTAATAAATTGTTTTACACTTGTGCCATCAGTTGCTTAAGGCTTCTTGCAAGTGCAGATGTCTTGTTTCCAAGAAAATGTGTTCACAGTGACAAATTAAGAGGTGACATGAACAATAAATTCCAGCATTTGACCATC